CGCATTGTGATTGTGATTTTGCTGGGCCAGTGAAATTTTATTAGGAGTCATTTATTACAATCTTATTAGAGCCACTAAATAAGCTACGCTTCAGAGCAACAACACTCCAGTTCCACTGGCGCTAAAAATAATATTTGCCAGTTATCTCGAAGCTTTATCTGAAATTGTAGGAAACGCTTTTTTGTTTTGAATAAATTTTAACCCAGTGCACGAGAGAGCCAACCGCGGTGTCACCTGAGCTTCCTGACGCCCTATCTAAAGCTCGGAATATTGGAATTTTTCAAATTTTATTAAAATTTTCTAATTTATTGGAATGTTCGAATAGTAACGATTGCCCATTTCTGTGCGCTCCGCGCTAAGCACCAAAATGACGGCGCTCACAAGAAAACTTAGGAATGCGGAGTGCCAATACTTTAAGCTTAGCTTATTGAGCGGCTCTAGTTCTTCTTACACGCAAGAATTGCTCGTACCTTATTGCCCGGTACCGCTCATTGCTATGCGACCTGCACACATCGCACTGTTTTTTCAAACTATGAAATGCTTCCCGAGATCCCTTACTCCATGCTTTCAGCGTGACTGCCGGCGTTTGTGCCTGCCCCTGCATGAGCGGCCAATTGAACAGGTCCGCAAAGAGCCTCCTTCCAAAACTCTCTGTAGACTACCATCATCTCATTGAACACTAAAAGTAGCTGCCGAAAGAAGGTCGTGAATTCAACCTTTTTGTTTTGATTGTTACTCAGCGGCACGAGTGAGGGCGCCCGTCAATGCCGTGACATCGTGCCCGCAACCCTACTTCCCCCTACTACTTTAAGCTGCAACGGAGTGGTGAAAATTCAAATTTCAAACCTGATTGAGGCTCTCGAAACAGAACTTGTTCCTCAGCCCTCAGGGTCTACAAGTGACGGAGTCAATTGGAGGAGAAACACAGCTCAGGGTACACCTTCAAGCGCGTCACACTCACGAAAGTTCCCCCAGAAGATAGCAATCATATCCATGATATCAATACTTGATTGCTGTCTACGATTTCGAACTCCAGAAAACATTTCCCAGCAAACATCGCGTCGAATCGACTGTTATTTATTTCCGAATACTGGCTCACTGGCAACGCGACTTGTCGCCTCAATCCAGTTTTGCTCGAGCGTCAGGTGCTGTGGTTTTCTTAAACTTTCTCAAGATCGCGAAGGGATATTGTTCGACAGTTTACGTAATGTTCCACAAAACTACTTGGACAAACGACGGTGGTTGAGAAATGAGCTCTGCAGATGGTATTTTTACAGGCTTGACAACGCTCCATGCATGTGACGTAAGATGGCCAACCCGTGGCCGCATTTGCGGAGGAGCGATCAGCGATCCAGGGTGCTTCCCCGAAGGATAGATTGATTAATGGTCACGACTAAACCGTTTAAAACGGGCGGCGGCTTGCGTCAAGTACCCAAAGCTTCTAATTCAAATTAACTAATTTCCGATTAAAGTCGTAATCAATGAAGAAGGGCAAAAGAATCTCATATTGCTGCTAAACACAAATGTTTATCTACCATTCTCTACGAAACTTCATTCTACTCTCGACTTATGCCACCAGCCCGATAACCTGTGCTTGGTGACCTCCGCTTTCCCAGTGTCTATTTTTCTGTCGCTGCCTGTAAAGCCTAAAGCCTTCACTTATTCAGTGTCGCCTTGAACAACTGCAGAATGAAGCCCTGTATAGAAAAGTATTGAGTGTTCAGACGTCTCCTTTTCCTACCCACATGCGTCACATCCCTATCGATGTCCTGATATTTCGCTCTGTACACCCTAGTCCGAAATGTTCCTTCCTCTCCTCGAACATCAACGAGCTTCCCCTGGAATTATCATAGATACTTTCCTTGGCAATACGCATCTTACATTTTCTATAAATCTCCAGAGCGATTTAATCTGTGATTCTGAACTGTGATTCTCTGATCTAGGACCTTATTGGCCAAAACTTTCGACCTCAGTTTCTTTGTTCGCTTATTTCTCTTTTTAAACGCCCTTCATGTACAAATAGCCAAAACCTCTCCGCGTTCAGCGTTCCTGCTCCATGTAGCTTAATCTCTCTTAAAATTAATCTTACTACTAGTTTCCCTGCCGTTGTACCGCCTGATTCGGTGTTTGACCATCCGCTCCCAATGCCAGTCTACCAACACCGCGTTGCTTTACTTCTAACCTTGCTTGAATATCAGATTTCATACACAGAATTGCATTGCCAAAAGTTAAACTTGGCACCATAAGCCCCTGTGTTACTGCGTCTGTCCTACTGCGCCATCTCTCGGAGTCATTCACAAATGGAACGAAATTTAAACACCCTTCCCTCCGTGGGCTCCATCCCGTTCAGGCACCTCACTATTCATCCACTATTACAAAGATATGGCAGAGGTGTAATTAGATATGAAGAGGACATATAACTAAATACTAGCGCGAAGACATGCACCAGCATAAACAAATGCCAAAATACGCCAAGAGAGGCCTAGCGTTGGTCCTCTTAAACTATGTTTTCACTGTTTATAATTAGGGGCCGCCGGTTGGCGCGAATGCCTTGCAGCGTATGAGGTGTACATATGCGAACTAATAAATAGATTAATGCGGTCGAACACCCCGAAGTGAGCATCAAGTAGCTCCATATTGATCTTAATTTCGACGCCATATTACAACTTTGTGGCGACAATATTTAGTTTAAGCCTTTAAATAGCGATGTGACGCAAAATATCGGATAATAATTTTTTACTTTAAATATCTGGACATGTAAACCGGATCAACATTGTCTTTCAAGTCCAAGTTCTTTTTCTTTTGCTTGAGTTTTTTTAAAAGGAAGAATCCTGCTTTTAAAATACCATAATTTTGATCAATTGGGCTGAAATGTCTTGACTAGACATCTCTTAGCCCCAGATGGAAGCCCCAGATAGCCCCAGATGGAAGACCGATTGCAAAAGTAGGTCTAAATGCTGACAAAAAGCAAGCGTAAATACCTGTGATTACATTAATTGCTGAAATTATACACTTATTCTTCCTTTGCTGCGTTGGTAAAAATATCTCTTCTCACCCACGATGTCCTTGCCTCTGCAGTTAACCCTTCACAAGTGGTATTATTCAAGTCCACATTAACGCACTCCGTAAGCCAGCCTTTTTTTGCACCTTTTGGTCCTCAATGCATCAAAATAAAAAGACTCCGAGGAAGTCTACATACACCCTAACCACTGGCCGAAATGGCAGCATTTGAGCTACGTTTAAAGATATGCACAGATATCAAGACTGTGCTTAGAGTTGGCATAAGGAGGATCTTTAAACTGGAGTGGCCATTTCGGACGCAATTATTTTATAGGATTTTAATAAAGACATATATCAAACGTATCCTCGGTGATACGAAACCGTTTTTTACCATTTTTATAACTGTCAGTTTCTAAAATGCCTCCTCGACATTTACCGCATAAGCTCTATGCTGTCTTTGCAACGGGGTGGCTGCGCCTTTACACTCGAAAGTAAAAAGCTGCAATGTTGAACGCCCCAATGGCTAAAGGAAATGCGAGCGGGAAAAACCAGAGGTGCAACATTGTGGAGCTCGGCGGATTTCATGTACTCACGAAACTCTGATTCATGCTTGAATCTCGTTATTGGCCCTGGCAACAAGTTTAAAGGGCGACAATATAATAAAATTTGTTTCCCTTTTCAGACAGTTCCATTTTCATGGGACAGCGGTTTTGGCACACAAAACGCGGTCACGCAGGAAAACACAAATCTTACACAAAAGACAGGCCCGAACACCACTGCTAGAGGACTGTGTTTATTGTTGAAACCTTTACAAGCACCAAAGACCGATGCCGTAAAAAAAAAAAAGTAATAACTTTACAAAGGAGTGCGTCTCGAAGTAACAAAATTACGACCCCCCCCCCCCCCCCCCGCACACACAACACAAAACATAGGCTATTTGTGTTTTAGGGTTTTCAAATACTGACCGCAACCGGAAAACATCTCGTATATATGTATATGTATAAGAAAAAAGTCCATGAGGCATGGGTTCTAGTGAAGCCTTGGCTCTTTTTCTCTTGAAACAACTTGAAAGTAAGAAGGTCAGAGGCAGTTATGCTTTAACATTGTAATAGTTTTATTCCCGGCAGCCAGTAAGCACCTTTTTATTAGATAATTAAAATAATAATAGTTGCCTGGAGTATTGTAAGTATTTGTAAATGTAACACTATATTAAAAATCATTCATTATGGCATGTCGTGTTCAGAAACTTTAAGTAATTCAAGCCGAATTTAATGGCTTTAACGGTAGAAATCTTTAGAAACAGTCGGATTGTTATGTACGCAAGCTTCAAGTGAAATTACAAGGCATAACTAACCTAGCTGTGTTGAACGAATTCCTGGCATTTTGAAACAACAACTTGATGCTAGAAAGTGAAGTTGCTTCTACTCTTCTTTACATATAGAAATAGTTGGAGTTACACACACACACAAAAAAAACTATTTTTTCAAGTCTGCCACTAAGAAAATCTTTAAGCAAAGTTATGGTACTCTAAGTTGCAGCAAAAGAGTTTGAGATTAGTTTTATATTTAATAAAACAGTAACGTAAATCCGACTCTTCAAAAAGCAATTGTATTACGTGCATGAGTACCGTATACTAACAAGGCCTCAAACGCATATGAAAAACGAGTTAGATTAGATATGCCACCAGTCTCAAGTCGAAAGGCACAGTGAATGTCGTGCTCCCTTATGGTGCAGGCGGCTCACTCTAACCAGCTAACCAACCGCACTAACTCCCAGTTAGTTCGGTTTGTAGAGAGTTTCAAATATTCTAGACCGGGCCAAACGAATTTTTTCATGCCGAGCATCTTAAGGGGCTGAAGTTTGGCCTCGATCTTAGGTCGAAATGTTAATTTATTCTATCCAACGTATATGATAAATAGATTGGCTGGTTTGAACCTAAAGTAACCCAACATAGTCATGTTCCCAGCTCCTAGGTCTACCTCCGTTCGTCGCGCCATCTATCATGGCTGTGATTGTTTTTGTCTAATATACGCGTGAATGTAGAAGTTTACAAAAAGACAAAGTATAAGGAAGGTTTGCGTGCAGCCCAGGTATACTAGGTATCTTGGGAAGCCGCAGTCCACGAAGATTGGTATGGATAGGTGGATGATGATGACGACAAACTGAAAAATCTGGAGCCTGGTGAGGTACTTTTTCCACCACAGGTACCTTCGTACACTAGGTCCCAGTGTGACCAGAAAGTAATACGTGTACATGATGATGTGCACGGATACATTGAGGGCCAGTCCGAAGGCGACTTGTCCCTCTGGAGCAAACAGACACCAGAACCAGAGGTTCAGCGTGACTATGGTATGGTGGATGACATGCAGATGCGTGACGTGGGTGAACTTCTTGCGGAGGACGAAGAACACCGTGTCCATGAGGTCTGAGTAGCGAATGGACACAAAGATCCAGCCGCTTTCGTAGTACTTGACCAGCTGCTCGTCCATGTGTCCGGTGATTCCTTGGCACCAGAGACTGTAGTGACCTCCTGGTAGGTACGTTTTCGTTAAGAGGAGATAGAGAAATCTTATATTGGCGGCCACCATGACGACGTTGTGGAAGCGGATAAGGTTTGTGATCTCGAACGGCTTCCTGTTCTTCATCCATCTGGGGCCGGCTACTTTGACGAAGTACAGGTAGACGAAAATGAGCGGGAAGACGAAAAGGGGGTTCATGACTATAGGATAGTTTCTGGTCCTCGGGTCACCCATTTGTTGCAATTCGCTGAAGAACGTGATCGGATTCATTATCATATTCATCTTTGCCGTTGTCCGTAGAACCGCAGAGTGCCTGTATTAACACACTGCAATCAATAGGTGGACACGCTAGTCAAAGCTCCCCTAATTCTAAGACCCAACAATATTAGGGCTCAAGCTTTATAGAATTATTGAGGTATTTAACGTGTCTAGAAAGCGTCACAACCTTTACTTTAACGCACTTCTCACTATCTTGTGTAGCAAGTTATTATATTAAACGCGACCGTTTTCGCTTGTAACTTCCTTTTTGCTTTCAGACCAAGGTAATACAAAATGGTGTTAAGCAAAATCATGTCTTTCTGGAGAATTGATGATAGATATTCTCAACCCACTTGCACATTTATATGATGTTAAGCAAAATCCTGTCTTTCTGAAGAATTGGTGATACATATTCTCAACCCTCTAGCATATTTATATTTTAACAACAGTCGATGCTTTAATTCGAGATACAAAATCTTATGTTCTGGTGTCTTGCCAGCGATTCTTCCTATGAAACTCAGAATACAGTGTATAAGTTTGCAGATCTTCAGCCACCAAACAATTACACAAGGCAGGCACTTCTACAGCTCTAGACATATATATATATAACATCCTAAAAGGGCGTCATAACTCTCTGAGAGTTCCTTCAGGGGACTGAGATGCCAAAGTGAGGAAAACATTTCATTACGTGGAGTCGGTGTTGGCGGCAACGCGTTACATGTAACGGCCTTACCGGTAACGCGTAACACTTTTCTGCAACGTAATAACGTACTCATTACGTTTTCGAAATAGTAATGCATAACTTATGTTACTTATTGAGAGTAACGGGTAACGGTTACGTGACTCAATACAACTTTTTTAAAACTTAAAAATATACACATATTTTTTTTTTAATTTCAAGGCGCCAAGTCATGAACTCTTGTACTCATGCGACATATCTTCAAAAATGTTTCTTCCTTGGTAGAATCAAGAGAAACATAAATTAGGTGGAATAAAAAAATGCAATTATACTAAGTTTCTACATGAACAAACGTTTCTTAAAATACGGCGTGTATACATATCTGTAACGTAAGTACAGTAAATTTGTAATTCATAAATAAAAACTAACGTACAAGTAATGTGTGTTAGTTTTTATATGTAACAGTAGCCGTAACGCTTTCCTTTAATTTTAATGTAATCTGGATCGCAACACGTTTATTTTATTCGACAGTAACGAGCCACGTATTTGGTTACCTTTTTTCTGTAACGCCTACCACACTGCCATGATTACACCTAAAGGCAGCTTGAGAAAGGTGGAGAACAGTTGTTGCTGCTGGGCACCATAATACGTCAAATCAGTCAAACTACTTGCTAGCTATACGAGTTTGGGAAAACAAAAAGTCGTTACCTTTGCCATCACGGAATTATATTTTTTTCTTTATAAGGTTTAACTAGAATAAACTGACGAGAAAATAGTTTGACTTACACGTAAGCCAATTTCGAACTCCAAGCTGTCAGGAACAAGACCGTTGCTGCTTTGGCAAGTGCGTGTTTTGTTTACGGGCGGACAATAAACTCAATGCATTGAATCAAGGTGACAAAAAAGTGTCGCCAACCGACCGAGCGCGCTGCAAGGCGTGCAAAAGACGAGGTCTCCGTAATGTATGATAACAGCAGAGCAGGTGGCACCATTTTCCAGATAGCAGACTCTGGGGGAACACTTCTCCGAAGCACGTCATTCCTTTTACCGCGTCAATAGCGCCTGCGTCGACAAGGAACTCATCCCCTGGAGATCCTCGAATTAAGCACGTTGTAAACGAATATTCTATGTGGAATCCGACTATGATATCTTTGATCTTTCCTCCTCGCCGAGTTGTTATTAACCTGTCACCGTGCTGCAACTTTTGGCATTCGTAATAAACCGTGACGGAACACGTGTGAGGATTCTGTGACGCTGCTTGGTGACATGACCAGTCCTGTTGATCTCCGTGTCTTGGGATGGAGTCTAATTTCCATGAAAGCAGGAACTCGAGAAGCGCCTGCAGTCGTTGGATCGACGTTTCGCTGCTGGTTGCTTTTCCTCGTACTGAAGCTCAATTTTTTTTAATATATATGAGGTCTAGAAGATCGCGCTTCGGGCGCATTTCCGTCACTTTTGGATTTATAAACTTGCGGACAAAACCAAGCGAACATAGAGGGAGAAAGAGGGAGAGAGAGATAAGGAGGGGTGGAGTATCGGATGAAAAAAAGAAAATAAAGAAAGTATAAAAAACAGCTATTTTATTTACTTGTTTGCTCACCAGTGTTGCCATCTGGTATTGTTGACAGGTCCAGGTAATTGAACACTGATCTAGATTACCGCTAGCCTGACAGGTAATCTCAGTATAGAAGATATACAAGCGGACTGCAATTTCAGGAGTTGGTGTCGGTTCGTGACGCTATAGGCCACTAGACCGATCGCTCTCTGCGCGGTGCAGTTTTTGTTTACCGAACTCTGAAATGCGTTCTAAGTATGTGCCGTAACCTTCGTCTGCCGAAAATCAGATCTTTGAAGTGGCACGTTTACACATGCGGATTTGCGGGCGGATCCGCGCAGACGAAAATTGGATTTTGGAACCTGGGTGGTGAAATGGACTCGTCGCTGGCGCAGAATCTGGATCAGCCCAGGACTCATATCCCGATTTTCCGCCAGAAACAAGTTGATTTCTCCACCCGGCTCCAAAATCCACGTTCAGTTGTGAGCTGTTCCGTCCGGGAATCCGAAAGAGTAAACGCGCCATAATCCGTCTACATTCCCATTTCCCGTGTCGGAGATAATCAGTCGAAAGATGTAAACGGCAAGCATCTGTTCCACAGTGCGACTTTCGCGCATCGGATTGCAAGGAAGAGCACCAATCGAAGGACAACATAGATAGCGCGCAGTGAACGCGAGATGACGAAAAGCCAAGCTGCACCATGATTGGTTGAGGTCGGTTGGGGCAAAAGCACGTGGGCGGATTTGAGAGGTAAACAAACGCGCAACGTGCGCAAAAAGCAGACGACCTTGCAGGTCGTACTGGCGACGTGGGCAACCAAACGCGTCGCTGTGGTCGACCTTTTACAATAAGCCAAATGCCTACGATGACGCCTTGACTATGATGAATTCTACTTCTAATAAAGGATTTAAGAAAAATATCAGAATGGAAACTTTGATGGTGTTGGTTTGAGGCATTGTTGAACGGAACGGCATTCCAAGGAACGGCGTTCCTGGGACGCGTTTTTTCTAAGAGAAACGAAGGCATTCCAAGGAACAGCGTTCCTGGAACGCGTTCCTTCTAGGTGAAACAAAGGAACGGAGTCGCTCCTTCGTTCCTTCTAGGTGGAACGAAGGAACGCCTCCATTCCATTTTGCATCGATGTAACTGCAACGGGAATTAGTTGCATTTTTACTAGAATGAAAAAAGGAACGGCGTTCCGCTTTTTCGTCCAATGGTGTAATTTTATTTTATTTCTAAGAGGGAAAAGTATAAAAACAGTTTTTTTACGAAGAGCAAGATCTTGCTAACTTTTTTGGTTTCAGACCTTAGGGTTTATTTTGTACACGAGAGCTATTGGACATCGATTCTTTTTTAAGTGCCCGAGACTGCGGTACAAAAAGCAAAACTTTTAGTCGTAGGAAAATACAGAGAAATATTGACGTTTCAAACTCAGCTCCTTTCTTTTGCTACCACGAATCCTCATACACCAAGAAATCTAAGGGCAACTACAGCCATCCCCGAATTTCCACAAAAAGACCTACAGTTACAACAAAAAAACAGGTTACCAGATATCGAACACATTCTTGTGTACCGAACATTGATCACTTTAAAGATAAACACAAATTAACCATTATTCCTGTTCGCCTTGTCCCCCACCTTCAAACTGAAGAACGAATCCAACGTTCAAGAAAAAGGACTATGAGTTTTCAAGACTAACCTTCGAAAAGCCCTACCATCTTCTTCACTAGCTAGTCTTGCGGCCAGCAACATTGAGAAGAATCTGTTTAAAATTTCAGGCAAGGAATTTCGTTAGTTTGAAACGTGTGAGTTTGGTAAAAAGCTCGTGTAGTGTGGGATAACAGCACATTTGGTTATAATGCAATTAAATGCAAAGGTGCAAGCGAGCTGGACAAGAGTGATGAAAGTAATCCCTGGAGAAGGGGATTATCCCTGGAGAAGGGGCCTAGACAGAAATTTCATTCGGGGGACGGGGAGGGGGTGCTTTGCTTTGGTGGTGAGGTTCGAGGTAGGACGAGATAGAGGAAGCGTTCTGACACCCCAGTGCCGTCTTCAACATGTACTTATCAAACTCAGAGAACATTAGATAAAGGGAGGAGCATCTTGGTCAACCAGCTAATTAACGAAAAGTGGTTAATTAGCTTCTTGTATATATTTTCTTTATGTGTCATGTGGCAATTGGACTATTGACGACAATTACTCTTAGACGCGAAAAATATCAGGCATTTATAAAAAGGCAATTATTTTTTAGATAGAAATTTTTCAGTTTTCTTGTTATCTGGCAGGGCATCGTAGGTAACCCCTGAATTATTTCAATACTCTTCAAGACACGTGTTACATTTCGCGTCTGAATATACCTTACTCGCACGCGTCGTTCTGGTTTCGGTGTGATGTTGGCAGAGAGATACAGCCATTAGCGTGGGCCTCTAAGTTTATATTTACTTTTCACTGTTTCCTGATAAGGTTAAAAAAAAATCTGAGAGGTAAAATTGAAGTGTTTTCAGGGATGTAGTAAAAAAACAGATTTGAATGCTCCAGGGGGGCTATGTTGCGCTTTTTGCACTCCCAGGAGACTAGGGAGAGGGAAGTGACGTCAACGACACAGCAAACGCAGATTGGGTGTTGATTTCGTTTTGTTCTGTCAACATCCAATCTGCGTTTGCTCTAGTCGTTGACGTCACTTCCCTCTTCCAAGTCTCCTGGGAGTGCAAAAAGCGCAACATAGCACCCCAAGTTGAAGAATCTGCAACCACGCATATGACCTAGACCCCTGTATGAGGCTACAGCGTA